CCAAGGGCTTTCCTTTTCATATCAATCATTTCTCGCCCATTGATTTTCTGGCTACCTTGTCGTCCCCCTCTCTCTCTCTCTCTCTCTCTCTCTCTCTCTCTCTCTCTCTCTCTCTCTCTCTCTCTATCTAATCTATCTATCTATCTATCTATCTATCTATCTATCTATCTATCTATCTATCTATCTATCTATCTATCTATCTCTCTCCCTGTTCCTTCTCTAAATTGAGGCGCCAATCTCCTCGCTATGCTGTAAGACTGTTGTTTATTTTGTAGGTTGCGCAGAGGTTCGTGAACCTATAAATATTAATAACTATTAACTCATTATGTTGTCACACAAAAAGACAGGTGAGGGGATAAAAGGGGGAAATGGGTAAGGGGGAGGATGAGACATTGGAAGGAGGAGGTATGGAATGTTATAGAAATGGGGGGGTGGGAGAGTTTGATGATATGAGGTGGAGTGGATGGAGAAAATAGAGGGAGGGAGAAAGCAAGGGAAAGACACATATTTTTGTCTTGAAACTGTAAAGTCTGTCTAAGGAAAGGATAGAAACAAATTTATTATGAGATGCGTAAATGGGCATTACAGAAGGCGGGTAAAAATTATGATTGGAAAGAACAAAAAAATGGTAAAGATTAGGTGTTAAAATTGTGACAGACATCAAGTGAATCGGAATGCCCCATGGTGTCTCGTCCGGAACAGGTTCGTCATGAAGACAAGCAAATGTTAAAGGAATTCTGAGTTCATATAACAGGTTCGTTATGAAGACAAGCAAATGTTACAGGAATTCTGAGTTCATATAACAGGTTCGTTATGAAGACAAGCAAATGTTACAGGAATTCTGAGTTCATGTTGGTGTCTCGTCCGGAACAGGTTCGTCATGAAGACAAGCAAATGTTAAAGGAATTCTGAGTTCATATAACAGGTTCGTCATGAAGACAAGCAAATGTTAAAGGAATTCTGAGTTCATGTAACAGGTTCGTTATGAAGACAAGCAAATGTTACAGGAATTCTGAGTTCATGTTGGTGTCTCGTCCGGAACAGGTTCGTCATGAAGACAAGCAAATGTTAAAGGAATTCTGAGTTCATATAACAGGTTCGTCATGAAGACAAGCAAATGTTAAAGGAATTCTGAGTTCATGTAACAGGTTCGTTATGAAGACAAGCAAATGTTAAAGGAATTCTGAGTTCATGTAACAGGTTCGTTATGAAGGCAAGCAAATGTTAAAGGAATTCTGAGTTCATATAACAGGTTCGTTATGAAGACAAGCAAATGTTAAAGGAATTCTGAGTTCATATAACAGGTTCGTCATGAAGACAAGCAAATGTTAAAGGAATTCTGAGTTCATGTAACAGGTTCGTAATGAAGACAAGCAAATGTTAAAGGAATTCTGAGTTCATATAACAGGTTCGTCATGAAGACAAGCAAATGTTAAAGGAATTCTGAGTTCATGTAACAGGTTCGTTATGAAGACAAGCAAATGTTAAAGGAATTCTGAGTTCATGTAACAGGTTCGTTATGAAGGCAAGCAAATGTTAAAGGAATTCTGAGTTCATATAACAGGTTCGTTATGAAGACAAGCAAATGTTAAAGGAATTCTGAGTTCATATAACAGGTTCGTCATGAAGACAAGCAAATGTTAAAGGAATTCTGAGTTCATGTAACAGGTTCGTAATGAAGACAAGCAAATGTTAAAGGAATTCTGAGTTCATATAACAGGTTCGTCATGAAGACAAGCAAATGTTAAAGGAATTCTGAGTTCATGTAACAGGTTCGTTATGAAGACAAGCAAATGTTAAAGGAATTCTGAGTTCATGTTGTCTTTGACTCTTTCTCTCACTTTCTCTCAGTATCTCCTCGGTGTATAATTTCAGGGCAAGTGTCCATAAAACAGGGGAGGGTGGGGGGGTGGCCATATTCTTTTGCCGTATGGAACCAGTCGACACCCCAAGTAGCAATACCTACCGGGCAAGGAGCCGGCCTTTGATCAATCGCTTACCCTTGATTTCACCCCAGCTGGCCGGCCACTCGGTGGCGAGTGGGCTCCCTTTGAATGAGAAGGTCGAGATCTGTGGGTTCTGATCCTTTCAACATATCCAAGAATAAAAAAGAGTGTTTTCCTCCCCACGCCATGTGTTGCTGTTCTCTCGTGACGTCTTTCAACGCCCCAAGATGATTAGGAATAACTCGTAAAAATAAAATAAAAAGGGGGGAAGGGAAGAGAAGATTTGCGGGCAAAGTTTATCTATTTATTTTGCCCATTTAAACGTACATCATCTGTTTATATATATATATATATATATATATATATATATATATATATGTATATATATATATAAAAATAATAAAAACAAACAAAAATATATATAAAATATAATAGAGAGAAATATATATAAAAAAAAATAAAAAGAGGGGAAGGGAAGAGAAGATTTGCGGGAAAAGTTTATATATTTATTTTTTTCATTTAAACATACATCATATGTTTATATATATATATATATATATATATATATATATATATATATGTATATATATATATAAAAATAATAAAAACCAACAAAAATATATATAAAATGTAATATCGAGCAATATTTATCAAGCCCCTGAACTAGATTAATATTCTAATGACCCACACGCTTGAAGGGCGCAGATTTATTTCACCAAGTATTTCAGAAACCCAAAAGAAAATATTACGCACCAGTTATCGGGAATTGTATTTCCTGAAATTAGTGTCATCATATTTCATCCATCGTCTTCTTGAAAAACAAGAAAAGCTGATGTTTAAGATGCTTGGGACTGAAATGTTGATAGGATGTATTGCTATCGGCAACGAGTCCTTGTGCCACGTTTCAGCTCGATAGGTTGACAGGAAGTGGGTCAATTAGCCGGCCGAATAGGTTGCCACACACCCGAACAGAAAGAGAGAAGCACGCGAACAGAAGCGAAGTTAATTGAAAGCGCTTTAAAATAAACTAAGATTGGGCAAATACCGTTCCATGCCATAGACCAGGAATAGAACATTTCGGGACAAGCCCCGAGACAGGCTAGAAGGCAACTGGTCCACTGCTTTGGTGTAACTAATGAGAAGATGCATCAGTTGCAAATTACTTATCAAAGTAGAAAACGCGTTCGTAACTGGTAACTGAAAATCAAGGGACACCACTTCTAAGCGATCCACAAGAATTGAACCAAACGATAAACGGTGAAAGTTTAAATTCAACAAGCGATCGTCGGATTATGTCCCTTTAAAAACTCCACTTCTTAGTGCCAGAACATTGGAGTCTATTGACCAGAATACAGGAGTCTAGAGGCCATATCACATGAGTCTAGAGGCCAGAATACGGGAGTCCAGTGGCCAGAATACCGGAGTCTAGTAGAAATTTTTGGGGGGAAGAGGGTTAATAGACCACACGTCCTGGTTATGGTGAATGGTTTGAATACAACTCCACAGATTGTCATCAAAAGATCTAAGGTTAAGCGTATAATTAAACGCTCAAGTTGTTTGATTGGTTTTATTGTTGATTTCTTTTTTCTGTTGATGACGTGGGGCCTGGGATGAAATTAAACATGTAAATAATAATAATAATAATAAAGTTTATTTCAAAAACACGCTTCATCCCCTTAGGCTCGAAGCGCGGTACAAAGTAAAAAATAAAAAAAAAATATAAAAAAATTATAATTTACCACATTTAAAAGAAACGCAACACTACAAAAAACTCATTACAAGCATACGTGGAAGGCATGGCCAATAAAAGACCGAATAAACGCTTGGAGGGCGTGGCTTATAATATAGTTGATCGTGTGGAAAACACGTCGAAGGCGGGCCCAATAAAAGACCTAATTAACAAGTGTAGGGCGTGGCCAACAATGATGTAATGTTAACTTGTGGATGGTGTGGTGGTGAATAGACGACTTTCCCTTAGTGGTTTCTGGTGCCTACTTTAAGCAAACTTGAAACAGTGTAGTGTGGGCCTGCATTGCGATTCCATAAGTTCCTTCTTAATTTGAATACAAAGACTAGTCACTAGTGGGGCCGATGGATACTGTCACTCCTGCAAATCAGTATGCCATAGTTAAGTTATGATGTAATTGCGATAGCCTGCGTTGGCATTCATTGATTTTCGGAAATAATCTCATCCATTTTTTTGGTATAACTATAACGTAGGACAACTTAACCAGGGCTTAAAGTTCTGGACTTGTCCACAGCAGGAGCGCCGTTCCTGTTAGCAGTCCTGCAGGACAGGGCCTTGATGTGTGCGAGCTGTGTGACCGACTGCCGACACTTGACTCGCAAATTGAGATTAATTTTAACAAAAACATCCCTATAGACCGACCCGTTTGAGAAGACATGTGGGCCACCAACATAAAACACTGAGCTGTCCTGGAATACCTCCACAATTGTATTCTTTCCATTTCCAAATTTGTATCTTGCCTCCCCATCTAGGTCTAAGTAGCACACAAATTTGGAGTGACGCTATTATTTTATCATAATCCTTGCAGGCTAGTGTTTATTTTATTTGAACATTGAAAGTGGGTCAGCAATATCAAAATGAGCCTCTTTTTCAAATTGAATACTCCTCTATTTTTTTTCAATATTGCACCTGGCATGCTAAACTTTGGTGAGTTGCCACATTTTTTTTTCCTCCATGACTTGACCCCTGAACTTAACTAATTATATCATGACGCCCTTCTTGTTGTGTTTGGTGCGTTCTTGTAGCATGGTGCCCTGCCGTTTTTTGCTGTTGTTTTTTTGGTACATTTTTGTATCATGGTGCCCTGCATATGCCTCCTATTGTATCACTGTGCCCCACCATTCGTTATTGATACCTCTTCTATCACTTTCCATAAAACACTTGAATGATGCCCCACATCACGGTGCCCCACCCTACGTTATTGATGCCATGCCATACTTTACTGATGCCTCAGTATGCCACTGCTCCCTTCGTATCATCTTGTATACATTGACCAACGTTTATAAATGTATGTGCTGTCGTTTCCCCAGCACCAGGGAATGCAGAGACATAACGAGGCTTGGAGGGACAGTCTGAGGTATAGACGGCCCGACCTTGACCGCATGTCCGGCATCCGGCGTATCACGGCCAACAACAACCCCATGTTGGGGGATGACGGGGCCAGGCTACTTGCTGACGCCCTCAAAGATGACCTCTGGCTTAAAGGTGAGTGGAATGCATTGACGACTTTAAAGATAACAGGACCACCCCTTGCACCCCTTGGCGAATTAACTCAATTTTCTATATTAGCCACCGACAGCTGATCAAAATCCCCCCCCCCCGGCAAACAACAACAAAAGCCACTACCTTTTTACAAACTTTCTCAGTTCTAGTATAGTATAAATTGAAAGAACATATGCTATATACATAATTAATAATTGACTTTGTGCTGTACATCAAGGTTTTTCAATCGTTTCTATATTCACTCCCACCAATTTTTTTAATGATCCTCGTAACCATGGAAATAGCAATGTACTTAAATCTTCAGACACCCTCGCCCCCGCTCGGATGTTAGGAGTTATAATCACTTTCCCTTGCAACCCCCCCCCCCCCGAGACGCCCCTCTCATCCCCCCTAGGGGTGCCATACCCCAGGTTTGGAACTCCCATCCCGCTCGGATGTTAGGAGTTATAATCACCTTCCCTGGCAACCCCCCCCCCCCGAGACGCCCCTCTCATCCCCCCTAGGGGTGCCATACCCCAGGTTTGGAACTCCCATCCCTACATCAGTTTGTTTTACGTGTTGATTAATTAAGCAATTTGTGTTTCCCGACAGCCCTTGACCTCCAGTCCTGCGGAGTCGGAGTCTCTGGCGCCAAGACGTTCTTGGAGGTGCTCAAATACAACACAACCCTGGTTGTCCTTGACCTTCGGAGGAACCCTCTCATCGGTGAGTGTCACGTGTTGAACTGCTTTGTGATAGAAGATTACGCTGAAACTCTCGCGTTGCTGCCGCTACACAGAAATTTCAACCAAATCTTCCTTCAACAGCGTGTTCCATCACAACAGCGGCTCTCAACATGTGGGTCGCTACCCCTTTCGGAGTCTGTCGCTACCCCTTTCGGGGTCGAACGACCCTTACACAGGGGTCACCTAAGACCATCGGAAAGAACATATATATGAAGTAGCAACGAAAATAATTTTAGGGATGGGGTCAACACAACATGAAGAACTGTATCAATGGGTTGCGACATTCATTTTGTTGAGAACCACTGCATTAGAACCATTCCTGTTGCTCTATTCAAAACTTCTAACTTGTTTTGCTGATATTGGGGTGCTGGGTGGCCGAGTGTTCTAAACTGAGCAAATCTCAAGTTGGTGGTCTGGAGTTCAATTCCAGCTAGAGCAAAAACACCACCAGCACCCCGGGTAGATGGCTAACCTCATCTAACTCATCTAAGAGAAGGAAACTCTGAAATCAAACCCGGAGATGGAGTCCCGAAAGGCGGATAACATTGATACAATGAAACAACTGCGACGTCACTGGTGCCAAGCTGTATCATCCCTTGGGTTACCCAGCGGCGTGGAGAGCGGCGATTTGCTGTTGGGAACCAGCTTATAATCCTTCCAGTATAATAATCCCAGGCTATGTGGATTTCGTCCTACGAAGCCCACTCCATCGTCACATTGTGCAAAAATGTCTGTTGCCTTATGATTTCTATCAATGTAATCTGCGCATCTTGTGGCACAAGGTGTCATGTACGCATGTGACTAGTAACGGGGTTGTGTTTGTCCTCTCCCAGGTCGTGATATGCTGCACTCTGTCATGGAACAGCTGATGCTGAACAGCAACGGGCAGGACGGCGAGGTAAGTGGGTATGGCGACATTGCCATGTATAAGGAAACTGAACGGGTAGATTAGGCCAGGCAAGGTGGATTAGGACATTATGGGTGTATTAGGACATAAAGTGGGGATTAGGACATAAAGTGTGGATTAGGACATTATGGGTGTATTAGGACATAAAGTGTGGATTAGGACATTATGGGTGTATTAGGACATAATGTGTGGATTAGGACATAAAGTGTGGATTAGGACATAAAGTGTGGATTAGGACATTCTGGTGGATTAGGACATAAAGTGTGGATTAGGACATAAAGTGTGGATTAGGACATAAAGTGTGGATTAGGACATTATGGGTGTATTAGGACATAATGTGTGGATTAGGACATAAAGTGTGGATTAGGACATAAAGTGTGGATTAGGACATTCTGGTGGATTAGGACATAAAGTGTGGATTAGGACATAAAGTGTGGATTAGGACATAAAGTGTGGATTAGGACATTCTGGGTGTATTAGGACATAAAGTGTGGATTAGGACATAAAGTGTGGATTAGGACATTCAGAGAAGAAGGTTTGGATCGTAAATGAAGAGAGGGTTTACGTGGCATGCAAGGTCATGATAAATAATGGTTGAACATTTTAAAGACCTTCAAAGTTATGTCCGGTTACAACTAAAAAATAATGTCTTTTGAGTTTGTAATGTTGAGAGTTGATTTTTCATCTTCTGTTTGAACCCATCTTCTCCTGCCATCCTCTAGTACAAGTGGATGACAGCCACAGAACCAGACATAGAGGCAGTGAAATCACCAATGAAAGCACCATTGAAACCCAGGAGGCGAGCCACCAAAGTTTTAAATGGCAGTATTGGCAGGAAGACAACCATAAAGGTGGGTGGAATCAGTCTTAGGAAGAAGACGACCAGAAAGGTGGGTGGAGTCAGTCTTAGTAAGAAGACAACCATAAAGGTGGGTGGAGTCAGTCTTAGTAAGAAGACGACCAGAAAGGTGGGTGGAGTCAGTCTTAGTAAGAAGACGACCAGAAAGGTGGGTGGAATCAGTCTTAGGTTAGAAGACGACCAGAAAGGTGGGTGGAGTCAGTCTTAGTAAGAAGACGACCAGAAAGGTGGGTGGAGTCAGTCTTAGTAAGAAGACGACCAGAAAGGTGGGTGGATTCAGTCTTAGTAAGGTGGGTGGAGTCAGTCTTAGGAAGAAGACGACCAGAAAGGTGGGTGGAGTCAGTCTTAGGAAGAAGACGACCAGAAAGGTGGGTGGAGTCAGTCTTAGGAAGAAGACGACCAGAAAGGTGGGTGAAGTCATTTTGGAGACTGATTTTTTTTATGGTGACATTTTTTTGTGATTTTTGCAGGTTACGCCCACGGCTGCCAGAGGCAAGCTTAGAAATGGTGGAGTGGCCCGTAAGTTTGAGGTTCAACCAAGTCCTGGCTTCCCGTGGAGGACTGCAGCCAGAGCCAACAGGTTTAGGTCAGTTGGACCATGGGGGATAGATGTTTGTCACATGGGGGGAGGGGACGGGGACGGGGGCTAGATGTGTGGACCCATGGCGGGATAGTTGTGTGTCACATGTGGGGATAGTTGTGTGTCACATGTGGGGATAGTTGTGTGAGATATGGGGGATAGTTATGTGTTATGGGTTGATAGTTGTGTGTCACATGTGGGGATAGTTGTGTGTGATATGGGGGATAGTTTTTGTGTCACATGGGGATAGTTGTATTGACCATGGGGGATAGTTGTATTGACCATGGGGGATAGTTGTATTGACCATGGGGGATAGTTGTATGTCACATTGTGATATTTACGTGTCACATGTGGGGATAGTTGTGTCACATGTGGGGGGGTTTTAATTAAACTTCTCAAAGGAATTCCATTTGGTGCTATCTTTCATTGGACTTACAAATTGTATGTGTGTAGGCCTAATTTTGTAAAAAAAAAAAAAAGAAAAAAAGAAATGGAATGTGACCAACATCACTTGCATAAACGAGATATAATATAATTACAAGATTGTACTCTTTATGTATGTGTGTAAATTATTATTTTGTCCACGATTGTACCTTCTAACTTGCTGTGCTGTAAGTTCATATAGTTTTCTCTTTATGTATATTTTAAATTGTATTTTTAATAGTAGAATAATAGAAATTTAATAGTTCAATTATATTAAATATTGTTAGTATCACTGACTTTTTGATCATTTGTCTCTTTGCGTACTATTTGTCTCAGTCCTTTGTTACATACTGTTCATTCTACCAGACAAATCTCAAAACAGATTAAATTTTCAAAACCATCTAACGGGCAGTAACAGCAAGCATCCAGACTACATTATCAAGTTTATAATTATACAAACTTGATGTCATATTTTGCCCTGCATCATATCAATATTATTCCAACTTTCTCCCACAGGGGTCACCCGCCAGACAAGTCGAGGTTCCTTTCATCCCCAGATGTGTCGACCTCCCTGCTCTTCACCAACACCAACAAGAACAATGATGGCGGAAGTGGGTCGGACAGGGAAGCCGTGGTTGTTAAGTCAGGCCCCAGTCCCATGAAACACACGGAGCCAGACTCCGGTGTGGCTCTCAAAAAACTGGAGGAGAGTCACATGTCACTGGACCTGACCAATCAGAAGGAAGTGCTGGTAGGTTTGAGTGATGCACATCTTATTGCAGTTGTTGCAGTGATTGCAGGTTGTGTCAGGCTTGTCAAGAGATCATACATGAATCACCCAGTTGGTCATGAATCACACAGTTGGTAGTGAATCACCCAGTTGGTCGTGCTTTTGAGTTGTATGTTTAGAAATAAATAGTCTGATTAGGAAAGGAAATGTATTTGATTGTAACTGGTTTACATATAATAAGTTGAACACCCTCAGTAAGTTGAGCACCCTCAGTAAGTTGAACACCCTCAGTAAGTTGAACACCCTCAGTTAGTTGAACATCCTGAACCATTGCTGCCTTTTTTTTTTCTTTTTTTTTCTTTTTTTTTTAAACTTCACCCATAACTCAGTATGTTTCTTTCTGTCTGGCCCCGTGCCCTAGTTTGAACTGGAACAGATGCGGCGTCGGATACGTGAGGGGCGACTGTCCAGGGCTCAGTAAGTTGAGCACCCTCAGTAAGTTGAACACCCTCAGTAAGTTGAACACCCTCAGTTAGTTGAACATCCTGAACCATTGCTGCCTTTTTTTTTTTCTTTTTTTTTCTTTTTTTTTTTAAACTTCACCCATAACTCAGTATGTTTCTTTCTGTCTGGCCCCGTGCCCTAGATTGAACTGGAACAGATGAGGCGTCGGCTACGTGAGGAGAGACTGTCCAGGGCTAAAGCTGACCAACAGATTGTGCAGGTCTGTTGCTGGGAATGTTGGACATTTGGAAGTGTGAAATCAATTGTGATGTGCGGGTTTTTTACATACTGGTCGTTAGTGTGACTAGATTCAAAAAGTTATCATTGTCATTAGGGGTTATTATAAGCAAGTCATAGTTTACAAAGGTTATTCTGCTCAGGCTTGTGAGATCCCTTGGAAAGGAAAAGATCACTCACTGGTGAGCATGGTGTGACCCTGTTATTCTCATTTTTTGTGCAACTGATGCTTTCTTCATAAATATAATCCCTTCTTTCAATACTGATTCTCTAGTGCAAACATAGGATTCTTTAAATACTTATTATTTTCTAGTGCTATAATTGTGATACATTCTCTTTTGTAAACATCTGCTTCAGATTCTAGTTCTAGCTTTACACACAAAAATTCTTAAATAAATGTGTCTAATTCTCACCACGGCTGTCTCCTGGTCACCAGCTTATGCTAGAAAACCACAGGCTTGAAGGAATGCTGGAGAAACTTGAGAAAGGCCGGTCACCCAGCAGGAGAATCTTGGAGGACGAGAAGTTCTTGGAGAGTATAGAAACCTCATTCAAGCAGTTCCACGCCTTCATCGACATGTTGAAAGAAGCCGGGTGAGAAATGGCTTGTCCTTGAAAACTTCTGTTTTATAATTTTTGCTTACTTTAAGGCCATGCGCTGCATCGTGTTTCTTATTATAGAATTGTACATGTTAACAAATGATTTTTTTATTTCCAATTAAGTTGTTGTTTTTTAATACATCATCTTTTATTAAATGAGTTGCTATATAAAAAAAAAAATTTAAATAGGGTTGAGATTTGAAATTAAATTATCTATCTGCAAGAATATCCAAGAGTAGGAAATATTTTATTTTAAATGTTTGAGTTTATAATTTTTAGTGGAATCAATTTAATAATCTGAGATATGTTTATCATTTGATCAGGCTGGGTCAGCTGGTGTCCATGGCAGGATTGGACCAGTCCCAGATGCCGTTTGGCAACTCTTCGTCTGTCAAAAACCATTATGAGAATTTACCAGAGCCCGGTATGGTACACATCAGCAGACTGACATACGATGGCAAAGCACAGACAAACGGACAGAGGACAGGGATTGTGACATCTGTGCCAACCCACCAAGGCTCAAATGTGTACAGTGATGAGGGCGGTAAGTCCTGCTAGGCTAAGTACTGCTAGACTAAGTACTGCTAGGCTATAGCTTATAACAAGATATGATTCTTGTTACAGCTGAGATGTCTTGAGAGCAGGTCAGTCATGCCATGAACATTTCTTGTCAAGTCAAATTTAGTTCAGCATTGCAAAAAATCATCAGTTCATTGTTGCAAAAATAACATCAATTCAGTGTTTCAACAAATCCATTCAGTGTTTCAACAAAATCATTAATTCATTTTTGCAAAAAAAAAATCATCAATTCAGTGTTTCAAAAAATCATCAATTCAGTGTTTCAAAAAATCATCAATTCAGTGTTTCAAAAAATCATCAATTCAGTGTTTCAAACAATCATCAATTCAGTGTTTCAAAAAATCATCAATTCAGTGTTTCAAAAAATCATCAATTCAGTGTTTCAAAAAAAATCATCAATTCAAAGTTGCAGAAAATTATTTCCTGTAATCTTAGATCAATTTTTTGTTCCAATCTGAACACCACATATAACATAGGATATATCTTTATGTTGTATGTCTGCAGAACTAGCCAGACAAGAGGCTGATGAGCTGTACACAAAACTTGTGAGAGAAACACAGAGTGCTATAAAAGATACCGCACCAAGGGACACAACCTGGATGAGATCAAGTGTTGTGGCCAAGGTAAAGTCTAAAAGTTGGAAAATACCAATAACAGAAACCATACAAAAGTATCAAGTATCAAATACCCACATCAGAAGCCATACAAAAGTACCAAATACCCGCATCAGAAGCCATACAAAAGTACCAAATGGCTGGCCTCAGGAGCCATACAAAAGTATCAAATACCCGCATCAGGAGCCATACAAAAGTAACAAATGCCCGCATCAGGAGCCATACAAAAATACCAAATGGCTGGCATCAGGAGCCATACAAAAGTACCAAATGCCTGGCATCAGGAGTCATACAAAAGTACCAAATGCCTGGCATCAGAAGTCATACAAAAGTACCAAATGCCTGGCATCAGGAGCCATACAAAAGTATCAAATACCCGCATCAGGAGCCATACAAAAGTAACAAATGCCTGGCATCAGGAGTCATACAAAAGTACCAAATGCCTGGCATCAGGAGTCATACAAAAGTACCAAATGGCTGGCCTCAGGAGCCATACAAAAGTATCAAATACCCGCATCAGGAGCCATACAAAAGTACCAAATGCCTGGCATCAGGAGTCATACAAAAGTACCAAATGCCTGGCATCAGGAGTCATACAAAAGTACCAAATGCCTGGCATCAGGAGTCATACAAAAGTACCAAATGCCTGGCATCAGGAGCCATACAAAAGTATCAAATACCCGCATCAGGAGCCATACAAAAGTAACAAATGCCTGGCATCAGGAGTCATACAAAAGTACCAAATGCCTGGCATCAGGAGCCATACAAAAGTATCAAATACCCACATCAGGAGCCATACAAAAGTAACAAATGCCTGGCATCAGGAGTCATACAAAAGTACCAAATGCCTGGCATCAGGAGCCATACAAAAGTACCAAATGCCTGGCATCAGGAGTCATACAAAAGTAACAAATGCCTGGCATGAGGAGCCATACAAAAGGCATCTAATGCTTGAGCCATGGTTGCTCTCAGGTCTTTCCCGGTGTAAGGTTTCAGAAACTGCAATTTTCCCAGGGGTGGAGCAAAGTCATTTTGTCTTCAAAAGCATGCAGAGCACTGGTCTAGTGGTGGGAAGTACAGTGGAACCCCGCTATAATACGATGATCGGGGTCCATAAAATCGGATTGCTTTAAAAGCGGGGTTGCATTAATGCGCGGTTTTACAATATTTAACTTTTTTCTGAGAACATATACGTGTATACATGTACAATGATCAAAAGTCGACTTATCATCAGATGAATTTTAACTGGAATGCATTAATTAAGATATATTCAAAATAATCGATGGCTAATATAATTATAGGTTATTACTGTGCATTAAAAAAATTTACCAATTTTTATTTGTTTGAACGATAATACAGATTGACCGATAATACCAGGCTATCACTATATCATGAAAAGTGTATCAACACCGTATGCTACCGTGCCATCGTGGCATGCAGTTCATCCATAATGGATGTAATTTCATTGAAATCGTAGAGATTTAAAATATTCAGGGGCTTATTTTCTACGATATTTTTAAAAGTTGTTATTTTTTTCGCTTTAAAAAATGGCTTTCCAAGCAATGGATAAAATTTTCAAATAACTTAGGCCTGATGGAGTAAATGAATTTCAAATTTTGGGAGCCATGCTACGACCGCGTTATATCTAAATTCACGTTATGGCAGGGTGCGTTATTGCGGGGTTCCACTGTCGTACATTAGCTAACACTGGAGTTCCTTTCTTGCAAGGCAACTTTTAATGAGTTGGAGATTAACTGAAGGATGGAGTCTTGCATTCTCAGTGTCTCCGTGGTTAATGATATGTTATTGAGGATATCTACAAAAATTATTTACAACCACCAAGAATTGTTTTTTTCTGCCTTTCGACTCTTTGGAGAGGTGTTTTATTTTGGTTTCTTAGGAAAGGTGAAATGAGTTTAGGAATTTGATAATCTCATTTCATTTATTTTTTTATATTTAAGGAATTTTTTTTTTCTAACAAAGCCAAACTAAATCATTTCTGCATGTGCAGGAGCATGAGATTAATGAAGGAAAATTTGATTAAAACACATTTGTTTCAATTGTAGCTCTTTGCTTGTTTACAGAGCGGAGTGGGCAGATCAGAGCCGGGCGACGCCCATTTTCAAAACCATGGGGACCAGGGTGTTGACAGCAGGCAGGAACACCGGGGGCAGTCACGCATCGATGAGTCCATCAACTTCAGCGTCGGAGAGTCCCGCGACAATGAATCGGCCAACCTCAGCGTGGAGCAGTCGTCATACGGCGGTGAGGAGAGGCACTCGGTAGTGGACAAGGACGACAGCGCCGACGACGAGGATTTTTAAATTATTGCCACTGGTTTGATTTCATTCCGATGTAACTTGCTGTTGTTTTACCATGTATTATAAAAGTTAGCAAAAGGCTGGACATATTCTCATCATTTCGTCACAGAGTTTTGTTAATTGTAAATAAAACTCCTTATTTCTTCATCGACTATTTTTTTTTTAGGTTAACCTGACGAAACAAAACTTTTTCCATTGGTTTACTGTATAAAAACAACCTTATTCCATTAGTTTAAATGTAAATATTCACGTGAGGACAAACGGCTGGACTCTTGCAGAGAGCAAAAATGGGAGATGACCAACTTTGTTTTATTGTAAGAAAGAAGGAGTGGGCTTTTTAAATCATTAAATATTATAGGTACACTTTGTACACATGTCTACATTTGTTTTTATTTTATCATTAATTTTGTGAGCGGGTCTATTTTTATATTATTGTAAAAAGGTCGTTGGCATGACGCCACATTGCATAAGAAGGTACGTAAGAAGGTTTTTTTTTATGTTTAGAAGGTCATGTCACGTCCCTGAAAAGCCATGATTTTCCAACCCATGTTGATTAATTTTATTTCTTCATGTACCTGTCACACATTCAGGGTCAAGGTGACAGCTTAAAATGTCAGTAGAGCCAATAACATGGCTTTGGATAAGGTCAGGGGGGGGGGGGGGGGGGGAATAGTGATCTTGTGTTTACTGAATGTATGATGAGAATGTATTATGAGAATGTATGATGAGAATGTATTATGAGAATGTATGATGAGAATGTACCTAGAAATTAAAGTAGAGTTTCAACATTTTATTTATTTGTAGACTTTATGTGACAAAACATGCCCCGATTGGTCTCAGTCATCGCAATGTTTATCAACTTTCATTTACTTACATTAACTTTACTGTTGGTCTCCAATTTTGCGGTGGCCATATTTTAATATTTTGAAAATTTACAATTTGGCTTATTCACTTATTTTGCTGTATGCTAACTTGTTAACTTAGTTTTGTACTTAATAAACACTTTGGTATTATAATGCACATGCTATCACACTCCGTCCAGATAACTGTTACATTGGCCAGCTAAAACGCTTCACTGGCCAGCCATCGGGTGCATTAGTGAGCATCTCACCATACTATACAGTCTATCTTGTCATTGCTTGAGCATTTTGAATATTTTATAGAAGGGATAGACTGGGCTTAACTTCAAAAAAGTGGATGCTTTTGCAACGTGATTGTAATTTTAGTCAATCAACACTTTAGTCCAGGCCTGTACAACATACGGCCCATGGGCTGCATGCAGCCCGCCAGCACCCACTTTGGGGCTCGCCAAGTAATAAAATTTTCTTTATTATTGTTATTTTTGTATACCTTTCCCCCTTGTCCTATTATCTTTCGGCCCGCAAAAGTTTTTCATAAAATATTACGGCCTGCCTTACATTTTGAGTTGTGCTGGCCTGCTTTAGTCAATCAACCCTCCTTTAGTCAAGCAACCCTCCTTTAGTCAAGCAACCCTCCTTTAGTCAAGCAACCCTCCTTTAGTCAAGCAACCCTTTACTCAATCAACTCTCCTTTTGTCAACCTAAAAGTCTTTAAACTTTTCTGCCAGAATTTCTATTCCGTGTGGCATATTCACTGCTGAAAAAAATGTAACTTTTCTCAACTTGTATTCCTCCAATAAATGATTGATTCCTTGACACGGTTGATAAACATGTAGTTTTACAGTTAGGAATGTAGGATTATTTTTTTTAAATAATTATTTTAAAATGACAGAAGTTGTTTTGGGGAATATTTCACTTGCTAATTTAGTGAGTCCCAAGTCAAGGCATTCTACTGCCCCACAGATCAACAACATTCTACTATGCCGCAAATCAACAACATTCTACTGCCCCACAGATCAACAACATTCTACTCCCCCACAGATCAACAACATTCTACTATTCCACAAATCAACAACATTCTACTGTGCCACAAATCAACAACATTCTACTGCCCCACAGATCAACAACATTCTACTCCCCCACAGATCAACAACATTCTACTATTCCACAAATCAACAACATTCTACTGTGCCACAAATCAACAACATTCTACTCCCCCACAGACCAACAACAGTTTTCATGTTACAGTAAGACTCTGATTTTAAGTTATAAAATATTTTACTATTTAATAATGAAAATAGACAAAGCATTTGAATGGAATGTTTAAAGTAACTTCAACTGAACACTTTTCATAACTCATGTCAATATTTTGAAAACAAATTAACTAATCTTTTATTTCTAATTCATCATCATTCTTTGTGGGTTTTTTTTTGGTTTTTTTACAAAACAGAAAGAAGAAGTCATCTTACTCATTGTCAATCTGCTCAGTGTCCATCTCAGTCATAAAGTTCATTGCCCATACCATGGTTCTCTTGTCATAAATAAAATTAATTTTTCAAGACTTTACATTACTGATAGTTGCTTTTTTTTTTTAGTCTTTATTTCATCTTGTGGTCTATCAGTATTTTAATGTCTTGTGACATGGTTTTGACACTGTCAGTATTTTAATGTCTTGTGACATGGTTTTGACACTGTCAGTATTTTAATGTCTTGTGACATGGTTTCAACACTGTCAGTATGTTAATGTCTTGTGACATGGTTTCAACACTGTCAGTATGTTAATGTCTTGTGAAATGACCAACACTGTTAGTATTAAAAATGCAGATGGGGATTAATAGATTTCTGTCTGCAAATATCTTTCAGTCGATTCAATCCAGTCTTGTACTCATACATAATATACTCAAAAGTTTCATATGAAAACAATTAATTGAAAGCATATATTCTGATTCAGTCTATGTTTTGATCACAGTCTCACCAATCACCTAGTCCAACTCACTTACTACCCACCCAACCAACTGACTACCCCATTCTACCAACTGACTACCCCACCCTACCAACTGACTACCCCACCCTACCCACTAACTACCCTATTCTACCAACTAACTACCCCATTCTAAAGCTTTAACGAACTCTTCCTCTGAGAACTGCATCATCTTGGCTGCCTCTATGTGCATCTGGAGATAAAGAAACGAACATTTCAACTATGGAAGATTTACAATAATTTTCATTAATTATTTCCTCCTAAATCCTAAATATTATAACTCATATTGCATTAAAACAAAAATTACTAACAAGTAAAACTCCTGCAATTCTGTTTGGCCTTAAGTCCTGATGGTTAAAATCAACTATTGGTGGCCAATCGTATTTTTGATGGTCCATCCCACCTAATGGGACATATTAAAATTTACAAACCCTTCTATCTCAGTGGAGTCCTACATTATGAATTATTAACATTATTGCCCTATCTGGTTGTTACTCAGAAGCTCTGTATAAAAAAAAAATGTAATTCAAATACTGATATTCTCAGAATAGTGGTTTGCAGCAAAATTTCTGAGAGCACGAGTTGGGGACAACAAATTTTTTTCAAACAGGCACTTGCTTACTTCACTATTTCTTACTACACGACATATCACTATTCTATAATGTTACAAGTTCATATAGAGTGTCTCAGAACAGCATGGTAGAGGGACAGATAGTGTGAATGGCCTTTGTCCCACTTGTCGCAACACTTCCTAAGAAGAAGATGATGATGTTGTTTCCATATCATTTCCCATACAACCCGAACCCAGACTAAATTTTTTTTTTAAATTGTGTAATTATAACTACAACAAATTCTTCAAGAGAAGCGGTGTGAAAAAACCTCACATTGAAAATAATAAAAATTAATTTGAGATCTCTCCATTGCTGCACTGCTTTATTTCTTTTTTTTTCTTTTTAAACTAAATTAATTACAATGTTTCCGTGAGCAGATTTTCCAAATGAGATCCAGAGACTGGTTGGAAATAATTTCTTTGACTCTCATCCAAGAAAGCTGGACACCCCTTTTGCTAACCCTTTTTTTTTTCGTATTCGGAAAATTTTAACATGTGAACTGAAAAAAGGTTGGATCGAGTTTCCATTCGATCAAATTTCCCTTGGCGAAATTTCTTTCAAACAAATTTCCAGCAACCTCCCCCCCCTCCGCCCCACTTCCCCCCTTCTTCATACCTTCTGTCGTTTGAGTACATCAATGAGCTTCATCTGTTTCTTGAAACCGGACATGAGCTCATTTTTCTGTTTCTCCAATCTCTTGTTCTCAGCCATCAGCTGTTCCACCCTCTTCTTGTCACTGTCGTGGGCATCCTAGGATTGGACGTTTGATTTTTTATAATAAATTTTTAAATCAGAACTAACAAATGAATTATGAGATGACATGGGCAGATGAAATAGTGACGGTTAATGCAGATGAACTAGCGACGGTTCATTTCATGACACAAGAACACAGACTCAAAAAAACTTTCAGTCATAGATAAGAATATGCTCAAAAACAGATTCCAGTGCCTGTACACAATTAATAGCTTATGATTTTAAAAAATGCATTTGGGGATTAGTTCATTAATTTCCCATTGTCTGCAAACATCCTTCAGAGCATTCAATCCAGTCGTATACTACTACATCAAATAACGTGTTACAGAACACTGAAATAACAAATTGTCAGTCACAAACATTGGGGGGGGGGGGGTGTTTGTGGCTGTCACATCTGCTGTCATGCTTACTGTCAAACCTGCTGTATTCTGCCGCTGAACAAAATTACCCTGACCTTTGATGTTGTCTTAGCTTTGCTTAGCTCTTCCCTGTACTTCTCGATCTCCTCCAAGGCTCTGTTCAGCCTCACCTCCGTGGCAGACTGTGACGTCTGCTGCTGTTTCTGGTTTCTTTTCATCTGATCAACTTCCTGTAGAAATTTTTACAGAACTTTATGATAATCATCGGAAAACTATGTTTTGGATATCACTGTTACAATAACTTTTGCCAATATTTTTGTTAAAATAATTAACTAAAAGTAATTTAAATTTATATACCCAACTTTATTAAGCTCTAATAAAATTATAGCCACTACTATGTTAAGCTCTGATAAAATTATAGCCACTACTATGTTAAGCTCTAATAAAATTATAGCCACTACTATGTTGAGCTCTAATAAAATTATAGCCACTACTATGTTAAGCTCTGATAAAATTATAGCCACTACTATGTTAAGCTCTAATAAAATTATAGCCACTACTATGTTAAGCTCTAATAAAATTATAGCCACTACTATGTTAAGCTCTGATAAAAAATTATAGCCCCTACTATGTTAAGCTCTAATAAAATTATAGCCACTACTATGTTAAGCTCTAATAAAATTATAGCCACTACTATGTTAAGCTCTAATAAAATTATAGCCCCTACTATGTTAAGCTCTAATAAAATTATAGCCACTACTATGTTAAGCTCTAATAAAATTATAGCCACTACTATGTTAAGCTCTAATAAAATTATAGCCCCTACTATGTTGAGCTCTGATAAAAAATTATAGCCACTACTATGTTAAGCTCTGATAAAAAATTATAGCCCATACTATGTTAAGCTCTAATAAAATTATAGCCCCTACTATGTTAAGCTCTAATAAAATTATAGCCACTACAATGTTAAGCTCTGATAAAAAATTATAGCCACTACTATGTTAAGCTCTAATAAAATTATAGCCACTACTGTGTTAAGCTCTGATAAAAAATTATAGCCACTACGCTCTTATGCTCTCATGATTTTCATATGATTTCAATTTTTAAATACATACATGCCAACCTGCATGGTTCACCCCTATTTTGTGCAGATTTTATACGTTTGCTGAGGTGCATCGCCGTATGGATTTTATTGGATTTAGAAAATAAATAATTTTTGTACAACTGTTGGTTCAATTAATTCAACATTGGCCATCCAAAGTTAGAAACTGAGCACAGTTTCACTGATATCACATAGTACTGTAGTAACTACTTTGAGTAGTACCCCATAATAACAAATCTGTGTAATTCATTATACAATCTGCAGTGTAAGTAAGTGCTCTTTTAATTTCTGTTAGATGATTAACTTTAGTCATTAGTGATTATTCCTGTTTATTACTACAGCCTGGCTTGATTTAACACGTTAACGCTTTCTGAAACTAAAATTGGTTGGGGTCTTCTTCGTTGTGTAAGTATATGTTATTGAGAGCCGAAATCAGAATTGTAGGCTATATTATATTCTGTTATTTTTCTTTTTATTATTTTACTCCAGCTGCAAACTTCCAAGTAACATATTGTATCCACATATTATATCCACATAGCGCATAGAGCTGTTTTTTAAAAAGTCATGGCATTTTCCTCCAGAATCTTATAGTGAAAAAAATGATGTTTGATGTTGACGATAAACTGAACTCAGTAACTTTTTCAAGACTGACGTGACCATACTTTATTTTGTCAATTTAAATGCAGGAATCTGTATTACAACAGCTGGCATAACTAACCTAAAAAATTATGCCTTATTACATATAAATTGATATCCACTTCATGATTTGGGTCAAATGTTTTTTTTTTATGACTTTAGACCAGTGTATAAAAAAAAAAACTCAAAATTTGATGAAAATCTGTCTTTAAAACAAGCAATTTTCATTTTAAAAATGCGACCTATCCATTTACAAATGATGTAAACATGTGCGCACAGCAAAGGGGAGATTAAAAAAAGACAAAAAAACAGACAAGTAAACTATGATGAAAAAGTTACAAGTGATACTATTTTCAACTTTTCATTTCTTACTGTACAATTTTTCATGCTGTTGTACAGTTTTCTTATCACTCAGGTTGGCATATATAGAAATAATACAAATAACTTGGAGAAGTTGAGGATTCTGAACCTTTTTCATAGCACTCATTTGTGCCTCCAGACTGTCACTTTTTCCTTTCATCTCCTCAGCCATTTTCTTGTGTTTGTCCATCTGCTGCTGCTGGGCAGAGGTGGTCCTCATCAGGCGGTTCCTGTCCTCTTCAGTGTCCTTCAGTTTCTGCGTGAGTTGCCTGTTTTCTTCCTCCTTACATACGCAAGAACAAAGTTAGGAGAATAACTATTTTCATTACAGATTTTCAAAATGACAAAAAAGAAGCAAAAAAGGCTGGTCTAAAGTAAATATGAATCTTTCTTATTGCTTTAAGTTTAAGCAAAGTAAAGCTAAAATATGTTGTGGTTTATTTGTTGTCCTTGAAATTGATTACAGTTATCTTATAATATAATCCCAGAGTGGGTCTTGTCCACCCCGATGCACACTGTGATGCGCTCTCATTTGCTGCTTGCCACCACTCCCCCTTGTACACACCAAATTCACACAAGAACATATTCTCTGTTAACCTTCTTCTTTATTTATGCATTTATTTCTAAAAAGGATTTAATAAACTCTTAAGACTAAAGAGTCAATACAACTAAACGTTGGTGGATGTATGGAGTGTCATCTGGATTATTAATATAGATCATGCACCTCTTCCATTAAATTACAAGAGCAACATGAATGCATTACCCCAGTTAGTCCAGAATAACTTAACATTTTTATACCTTGCTGCAAACTAACCCCTAGAATTAAATCTCAAGTGTTAAGAAAAAATTTTTTTTTTGAGTTCTTCAAAAGAACAAAACCCTTTCTTTTATACATTGTTAAACCCAATTATTTAAGCTATTATATTAGATACCATGTATTTTGTTGGTGAAATGCTCTTAAATATTATTTTTACTCTTTGATCTCTGTGACACATCTGTGGACCTTTCACTAGGTAATGATTAAAATTCACCGTCTAATTCCAATTGTTGACATTTTTTTTGCTGTGCATTAAATCATTAACAAAAGCCATTTCTAACGGAAATCTTTCTCTCTTTTGCAACTGAAATCTTTGTTTCTTTTCTAGCTGAAATCTTTGTTTCTCAAATTCACTAATATACAGTGAATGTTTAATATATAAAGAATAATCTATCACTAGTACAACTACCTTTAAGTGATTCTCATGCACCAGCCTGTCGACTTCCTCTTGCATGACTCTCAACTTGGCTTTCAGGAACCTCAGCATTGCCTCTGTTGACACAAGTTGATGGAATGAATTCAAACTTTTACAACTGCACTAGGTGTTATTCAAATATTGGCTCCAGTTCTGTGTGGCATAGTTATGCATGACACAAATCTGATTGCATTATTTTTGGGAAAATTCCCACAGGTGCAATAATTCTGATTGCTCATGTTTTTGTACTATATATAGATATATATAGAGATATAGATATAAATAGAGATATAGATATATATAGAGATATGGATATATAGATATATAGATATATATAGATATATAGATATATAGATATATATAGATGTATATAGATATATATAGAGATAAATAGACAGACCGACGGACGGACGGACGGACAGACAGACAGACAGATAGATATATAGATAGATATATAGATAGATATATATATATATATATGTGTATATATATATATAGGGTGAGGGGGATAATTGAACACTCTGTCATACGATAGGAAGGCCACGCACATGGATACAAGTCCCAGGTCTATGAAATATTGTGTAATCCGTCCCCATGTCCCTTGTAGTAGGCTACAAACCTTGTTTAATAAACTGGCCCCAATGTCCCAGATAAGCAAAACACTTCTGTACCTGTTCCCATGTCCCAGGTAAGAGAAACCGTGTGTACCTGTCCCTATTCCCCAAATAAGTGAATCCTTGTTAACCTGTCCCCATGCCCCAGGTAAGTGAAATCTTGTGTACATGATTTCATGACCCACAGAAGTGAAACATTGTGTACATGTCTTCATTCCCCTCATGAGAGAAACATTGTGTACCTGTCCACAAGCCCCAGGTACGTGAAACCTTATGTACATGTCTTCCTGCCCCTAATGAGTGAAACCTTGTGTACCTGTCCCCATGCCCCAGATAAGTGAAACCTTGTGTACCTGTCCCCATGCCCCAGATAAGTGAAACCTTGTGTACCTGTCCCCATGCCCCAGATAAGTGAAACCTTGTGCACATGTCCCCACGCCCCAGGTAGTGAAATCTTGTGTACATGTCCCCACGCCTCAGGTAAGTGAAACCTTGTGCACCTGTCCCCGAGACCCAGGTAATTGAATTATTATCTACCTGTCCCCATATCTGCTGCGCCCTGGGGTAAAATATCATCCACGTCATCTTCCACAGTAACATCTCCATCCTGTCCCAGTCTGGCGGACAAGTCAGAGAACTCTTGGTGCAGTGCTGTTATGAAGCTGTCCTCTGGTACAGCCACATCATCGGCCACATGTGGCTGTGGTTTGGGTTTCTTCTTACTGCATTCAGAACAGCATATATTATTAATGAATTAAAACTAGACTAATTACAAATAGATTAATTACAACCACAGCATTAGCAAAAGTCATTAAATTAATCAGTTATTATAAATTATTTAATGCAATCAAAATGGAAATTGCATTTGTTTCAAAACTGCTAAAATTTTCATTTTTAAACTGACCAATCTTGAACAACGTTATTGGGTGGCTATAACTATACATCATAAATCAGAATTAAGCAGCTAGTGTTACTTAAATACATTTTTAAAAATACGCACTAAAAAATTCAAATTAATGTTACACCTTTAACTCATTACCTGACACTTGTCATGGCCACTTTCTTCCTTCATATTACCTTACAGTTCCAATAACCACCCTTTGCCCTAATGTTACCTGACTCCTTTCCAATAGCCACCATTCTCTCTGATATAACAAGACATCTAAAAGGCCACCTTCTTCACAAATATTACCTGACACTACCAGCAGCCCTCTTCCCTGATGTTGGTCTGCTTATGTTATTCAATTTTGAAGGAGGCCTGGGACTGGAATCCTAAAATACATAAAAATAAAATTAATTTGTTAAAGAAAGGACCCACCAACTGGAATTATTTTTAAATACTTGGCCAAGGACACAAACGACATTCTATCAATGATCAGGTATCTCCAACTTCTGTAATTTACTTTTGTGGCAGAAAATAAAAATTTTGCTTATGCCAGAATTGTTATTTTCAGATGAGACTTTTTATCCCCTCTATGCAACTAAGCACAATAATTTCTAAGCATCACATCAAACGGTAGGTTGATACCAGTGATCTAAAATAAAGATGCTTTGAAATAACCTAATGAAACCTAAATCATGCAGGGCACAGCGAAAAGAGGGAGAAGAAGAGGAAGACAGAGAAAAAGATAAGAAAATAACATCAAAGGAGTGGACGGGACTAAAATTAGGCGATGTTGTGCAATGTGCAGAAAACAAGGGAGGAATGGAGAAAGATAGTTTTCATGTCATCTGTGGCACCCAATGGTCCAAGGACTAAGGGACATGATGACAATGATGATGAATGAAACAATTAGCTCTTAGCACCAACATTATCTAAAACTGTCTCACCTGTGGCTTCCTGGATTTTCTTTCTGTTTCATCATAACCTTCATCCCATTCTCTGAAACAAGAAAACTAATTTTACAAATTTATCATCAACTCTGTAAAATAGAAACACATGTAAATAATATTAATGTACAGTTATTTCATTCAGTCTATGTCAACTTCTGGGCTAGAATTGGAAAGTCTAGGTCAGCATTTGTGCTAGTAAAGAAAATATGGGAGTCAAAGGAGCTGACTCTGCAAACCAAAGTCAGAATTTTCAACAAATGTCAAAACAGTCCCAATCTATGGAGCTGCAACTTCGAGAACAACAGCAAGAATTATGCAGAGTACAGACTTTCATAAACATTTGCCTTATAAAAATCCTGAACATCAAATGGCCAAACACAATCAACAACAAAGACTTACTGGAAAGGACATACCAGGAGCCTATTGCTGAAGACAGCTTGAGAAAAAGATGAAGGTGGATAGGGAAGCACAGGACCGAGAAGAATGGAATATTCTAGACTGGGTAAAAGGCATAAGTAAGTAAGTACTGCTATGTCAACTTACTGTAAAAACTCTTCAGCATTGATGTTGTCTAAGAGATGAGATTTTGCCAGGACATTTTCTTGTTCCCTCTGAAATACATCATTATCAAGTTTTCTTTTATAGTAATAATATCAATGAGCGTAAGATAAAATAACATTGACATTTAATTATATAACTTAGATATCCCTATTTCAGAAATTCGTTGACATGTGATGACAAAAAATGTTTTAAAATGTAGGTACGCCAAAAGTAATATAAGTGACCACGAGTTGACAAATAAATGGTGCTCTGTCACCTTGTCCTCTGAAATAATTTTGGTTTTGTCTTCTTGTGGAAGTGGCAGGTATTATACTTTTTGCTGGTGTAAGTATATTTATTCTATAACAATGAAAAAAAATATTTTCAAGAAATATTTCCTTTTTTTTTCTCCTGTAAATGCTAAGAACGTCTCCTCTTATGGAGCTGTGTAAATAGAACAAAGCCCAGTTATTCACAATACAGCACACCAGTAAAATTTTATGACAGACTTTGCAAACATTAATCAGGTTTTCATAACTAAAACTCAACAACGCCTTACCATAACCATTTCTGCTTCTTGAACCAATGATGCAGTCTTCGCTTCTAGTTCTGCATTTAATCGTCTAGAAGAAACAATTTATGAATGTGCATTTATTAAACATGTCAACCAGCGGTTCTCAACCTGTGGGTCGCGACCCCTTTAAGGGTCGAACGACCCTTTCCCGTGGGTCGCCTAAGACCATCGGAAAACACATATACCGTACAGTTATGAGGTAGCAACGAAAATAATTTTGCGGTTAGGGGTCACCACAACATGAGGAACTGTATTAAAGGGTCACGGCATTATGAAGGTGGAGAACTACTGATGTAAACAGAAATGTTACAATTTAGGCAGACTTTCTTGTTTCATTTTATTTTTTTCCTTGTAAATCATTAATTGAAATTCTCTAAATATATATAACACTTAATCAAATATTTTGCTTTTTTGTTCCAATGTTCCCATCAATGTTACAAAAATAATATTTTTCTTAAATGTTCAACACTATAATGATAAAAGTGCAAAGAACAATATTTGTTTAAACCCTTGTTAAACATAAGTTAAATAACCTGTAGTTGTAATTAATGTTATTCAAACAGTACATTTGATTATTCAGAGAAATCATTTTTACAAAATGACAATAATTTTTTACTTGTACTCCGCTTCTCTGCTCTGTATGTCTGAGCTCTGTTTATTATCACCCCCTGACTTTTGTCCCAAGCTCACAGCGTTGGCTGTTTTTAACTTATTCTGAAGAAGAAATAAAATAGCTTGTGTGTTACATCCTTGACAGACTTGTTTGAGGGAATATCTCAACTTGCAGTTAAGCTTTACACAAAACAGTCTACTTAATTAGCTTTACACAAAATAGTCAAATTAATTAGTTGGTCTTCTTTATTAGGCAATATTAATCAAATAAAAGCATAAAAGAATTGCTTACATTTGATTTTTCACTCATTAGGTGATTAAATGACTTCTTTAACAACATATAGCTGAACACATTGTTTATTTCTTGGGCGCATATTTTTATTGAAATTATCAGATACAATATTCCGTTAGTTAAGAGATCTCATTTTGTATCATTTAAAAATAAACTGATATTTACTTTCATTTGAAGCATGGTTATTATCAATTATTAACACAAGCTAGTTGATTCTCCAAAGAAAAACTATTGAAATACCAGTTCTTTCTTTGCAAAATTTAAAGTTCAATTAATGATGATTATTTTTATTACTTAGGTGACTTAGGAGATTAACAAAATCTTAATTAAATAATATCAGTAGGAAGTAATATATCAGGTACAGTTGATGATATGTAATATATGTCTATGTGTGTGTATATATATATATATATATATATATATATATATGTATAATATATATATTATAAATATATATAATATATATATATATATATATATAGAGAGAGAGAGAGCCTCTACAGATGATATTTATTCTGATCTACTGAAAGCATACACATTAAATTCATTGGATTCAACTTATTTAGTGATAGTTGTCTTTAACTTTAGTCACCTGTGCACCCACAGACAGAATCAGTCACAAAACAAATTGAATGCTTAAAATGGTCTTAATTGATTTTGATGGATGAACTTACTACATAACAATGACTTCATTATATTATTTAGTCTAGTTTTTAAGTACTAGGCTTAGCATAAACAAACAATTTATACAGATTTCTTATAGACATTGTGATGATTTGAATGTATTGATTTATGGTTTTAATGATCTTTTGTTGTTGTTGTTCTATTTTAACTAAGCAGCCTCAGCCTAAAAATTGTTATACAAAAATTTTAACAAAGTTGTTCCATGCACCGCGACGGTGTACCTAGCAAAACCATGGACTTAGGCCTACGTACACCGTGACAAAAATGTACTATTGGCCTCGTTTTAAGATATCCCTGTTAGATAAGATCTTGTGTGGTCTTGTGGTAGAGTAGACGCTTGGCAATATTATATTTTGTGATCAATTCCCAGTAGGGGATCGAGTTTTTATATATTTTTGTCCAATTTAATTAATAATATTTTATATTTAAATTATTAAGTTCATTTGCAACAGTAGTTTCAAGAGAAGTTTTTAAATATTTTGAAGCAATTTAAAAATTTTAAATTTATATTATATTCAGATTATTAAATGTTTCAACAAGTTTTGTCTGCCTTTTGACTTTGAAAATACAGGTTATAAGACATTAGAAAACAAATTGAAAGCACATGTATAGTGTATGTAACATGTATAAGAGAACCATTTTGAATACTAAGCATTTTATTGTATTTCAACATTCTTCATGTAGTTAAATATTTACATTTTACTTTTACAAACACCCAAAGAAAATACCAGTATATCAATAATATCATATGAATATTAATGTGCATGGTCACATTTCAACCATCTTGCTTTCACTTGCAAAATTTACACACAATATCCACGGTTCATTCACAACCCTCAGTCTCACAGCAAATCTTTTGAAAACACCACAATTTTAGAAACTTACGGCGCCGTAGCAAACTGTAAAACAAAGCCATAGATCTGCGTTTACCATGTTCATGACTGAATTTTTTTCCAGAATGGCATGGCATGTGCTATTCTCAGGGTAAAACATGACGTTGTCTCACAGAAACCACATTGAACAAGTTTTTTTTAATTTGTTGTTTTAAGTTAAGAAATCGATCCATGCTGGGGTATGAGGGTGAGTCATGGGGAGAGGCTCAACAGGGGGCGCAAAACCAAACAGGGGGCTTACACAAATCACGGCTCTGGATAGGGGTTGTCCATATAGGACCTCCACACACATTAAACTTAACTTTTTGCTGATGTCCAGCAGCATTTTTTACTAATGTGTAATTCCAATTTAAAACTAATCCAATGATATTTAATTATTGTAAAAAGACTTTAAAAAATAACTGCAGTGTTTCGTATTGATCATCATACTGTTGTTTTGTGTTGACAATCGCTTGATATCACAATGACAATGGTTAGCCTCGGACAACTTTAACTTCATGACAATGTATGTGATTCTCTGCCTGTAATGTATTTGTGGCGTAATTATATCTTGGAGTTAATAAAATAGATACACTGGCTTCCCATTCACCACGCCCCGAGGGATATACAATGTTATAATTATAATGCCACCCCACCAAATAAAAAAAAAAAACTGGGGCGGGGAATTGATTTAAAATTAGTTACCCTTTTTATGCCTATTAAGATTGACAATCAAAGGATAAAACTTACAAAAAATAAATATATTTGTATTTCAATATGTGGGGGGGAAATAAAGTGGTTAACTTTAAAAATAAATCATGGTTTAACATTATACATCCACCCCCCTCCTTTCCAATAAATACTAAGAAATGCCCTTTACAAGTACTTTGCCACATAAGTGTGGAACTTACCCAATATCTTCCTCCCAAGGCCCAAGGTATCAAATGATTTTTAAATAAATAGAAGAGTATAACAATAACATTAAATCTACAAGTACCGGTTAGGCCAAAAAGTTAAAGACTCTAAATGGCTGAGGTGTACGCAGGCCACAGCCAATGATTTAACTAGGTACACTGCCACAGTGTACGCAGGCCAAAGTCAATGGTTTAAGCTAGGTACACCGCCGCGGTGTATGAAGTGCCTAGTGCTGGCCAAATTTTAATCTCAATTGTAATGTTAGGGAATAAGTTCAATGAATAAGTATGATATTAAAAGTGTAAGTTACTACTGCACATCAAAATTTTGTGAAAGTTACTAAGTTAGTGCTAGTTTAAACTACTTAAGTTCATGATTTCAGTCAGCCCTGGTGACATTACATTATTACATTGTATGTATGTGGTGATCTGACCTGATAAGTTTCAAAATAATAGTGTAAGTGTAGTGTAGTCTAATCAAAAAACTCAATCAAACCAAAATAATGTGTATTTATTTTAAAAAAAAATATATTTTTTAAACTTTAAAATTATTAAGAATTCGATCATTAAGGAATCAAGATATACCGGGTGGCTTTTCTGTTTTGACGAGGAATTTTTCGCGCTGTCAGCCATCTTGTATATAAACAATGTAATGATGCTAAGGAATTTGTTGTTGGTTGTCGCAAAATAATTATCTCTATCATCCTGAGAACATGTCTCGTTTGTCGTATTTGAATTTTCCTTCAGTAATTTTTTTAATGTGATAATACTACAACTACAAAAGGGTGACCAAATCATAATAAACTGGCAAAACGGGACACTTTCATGGACGGTTTGGGGGAGGGGGCGGAGGGTGGTGTTGTGGTTTCTAGATTGCCTAGAAATCTTTTAAATTTACCTTCACTTTTGTAATTAATTTAATTTAAACTCTGAGTCTGAGGCATATCATAAACACAAATAATAATTTTGCAGTGAATACTTATTTATTTATACATATTTTACAACAACATAAGGGGCCGTCCATAAAGTACGTCACGCTTCAGAAAGAAAAAAAAAAGGGGGGGGGGAGGGATGGGGTGTAAGAAATGGGGGGGGGGGGGTCAGGCCATATGTGACGTCACACATTATTTTTTTTTATTATTTTATTTCTAATATATTTTTTTTATTTAGTTTAATTTAATAGCTTTAAAAATAATTTTCAAAAATTTGAAACATTTGAATTAGATCTAGTTTTATGTCAAAATAGCATGAAATGCGTATCTCCTGAATGTGTTGTTCACGATTCCTTTCGCTAGGAGCGCTGGTGACTAGTATGTTGTTGCGAAGCCTTGTTTTATGTATAGTCTTGCCGAGATCAACAGGAGTTTTCAAAGTACAACTATATGATCTATATCGTCCATCTTTGCAGACTAGCTTACTTGATCGAATTAGCAAAGTATGTCACTTATTTTGCCTCACAAACAATGTCGAAGAAACATGCAGGACAACACAGAGCTCGGGCTCGGGAGAATGTGCCAACCCAAACTTTTCCAGAATCAACTCTGAAAAAACGTATCCGTCCTTTGAGAATCGCTGCTAGGAGGCAAAGAGAACTCATCGCAGTTATTGCCAGAAGAGAAAATGCACATTCAGAGGATGTTGAGTGGCTACATGAGGATGAAGTTGATCTGTCTGCAATTATCCTTCCAGGAAACGATGATGGTGAAAGACTGATGGCAGTCGTAACTATGGATGAACACTTCACTTCACCATGGATGGATGATGCCCAGTGAATATTTTTAAATTAAACACAATTCACAGGCACATAATAAACAGATTCAATATAGCACAAGAGTTTGTCACATAATTTGTCAATCTAGTCTTTTTTTAGTCAAATTGTTTTTATTCCTTTTTATTATTTGATCACTGGGTGAGGACAAGTTTCGCTAATTTACTTCTTATCCTGTGTAAAATAAAAAGATTGCATAATCTGAAATCATCTAAAACTTGACCTCACCTTTTGTAAACGGAGTGGCTATAGGTACTTTGGTACCTACCTATAGCATCAAGTGTCTATTCGGACCCGGCTGGTCACGTGAGGATCATTATTACTCGGTTGGTCACGTGACGGTTATGACGAATACTTCCTCTTAGAGCCATTATTCCTATCGGCAACCTTCCGTCTCGTGAGACGATGGTGTATCACCGTTTGGTTGGGTTGCATTTCCTCGAGAGCCATTATTATCAATCGAGAAATGTGCCATATTTTCAAGACTTTAAAGCAGCGTTAAAGAAACACGAACAATAATGTGACGTAAAGCTAAAAGCAAGTAAGAATACGTTAATGTTTTAATTTTATTGTACTTTTTAATTCTATTTTAAATATAGTTCTATAATCATTAACATGACATCAATCAAGATTCAAGATCAAAGTAAAGTTGCTTTTTTTTTTGGCGGAAAATCGGCTACTGTCTTATCTGTAATTGTAATGAAAAGTTTGGCTGCGGCTATTCGGACCCGGTATCAGAAGTGGATACTTCAATTTTAATTCACCGCAAAAAATATTATTATTCACACTTCCCATAAAACAAATGTTCTTTTGAATAAAAAACAATTCGGAGAGATCAGCCCGCGGCCGCAATCTTGGTTATCGTGACCCACGAACTTATGTCCAAAATGTATCCCTAAACTAACCAGAATCCTAAAGGAAATGTATCCCTAAACCTAACATGAAGCCTAAAATGTATCCTAAACCTGATCAATGTGAATTAGCCTAGGCCTAAAAAACTTTTAATTCAAAATTATTATACATTATTTCACATTTCCATTAAAACACTTCACACTTCCAATAAAACAAATGTTATTTTGAATAAAAACATACTTACTTCTTTAAAGGTCCTCCGCTACGGTAGTGGCCGATATTGAACAATATTGTCTAGAATGGCGTTGAAGACATAAAAACCATTTACTTTAACACGTTGATGCCACATGTCCACATGAATACACACATACAAATTGAGCATATGTCTGTGTGGGCCATTGTGGCGCTTGTTTCTCTCTTTTGCAGATTTCCCCAAACATTCGATGCTTTGGGTATTGGCTATTGGCACCTGAGTTTGGATCCAAAAACTTAACAGAATGAATGACCGTTTGATGAGTCAATCCCGGAGTGGTGCCAATTGCATTATAAATATATGCTCTCCATTGATCTGGCATGACTGTTTTGCCCAGCAGGATGTGTGCTGTGATTAGCAGCATAAGTGTAATGTGTAGCTGCTGATCAGGCTGATCTATCTTGTACACAAAACATGAAGCACTCACTAATCTCCTGACAAATGCGTCCAACGACCCATTGTTGTGGCAAAACTCGCCAGACATGATTTTTCCTGCATGTAAACAGACTCGTCGATTTCGACTGAGAATAAACATGACTTACCGGTGTAAATTATTAAATTATGTGAATTTTTTGATGGATGAAGCTTGAATGGATCCTAACACATATGTTTTGGGAAATAAGGCCCATGGAGGCCCTTTAGACACCCCTGGCACAGAGTTCTACTCCTTTTCCTGCCCTCAGGGTACTTTTCGGTTGCTTCAGACAGAGCTGTCCTTTTCACCATTGTGCATCCAAATATGGTTTATTTGAGCTGGATGTTACTGAGAAAGTTGTCTGCATACTTATTAGTTATTATTATTATTCTCTCTCACAAACATTTAATGATATATTGTGTAAAAATTAGCATAAGTACTCAAATGGGGTGCTTATCCCATGAGGCATATTTAAAGGCTCAATTTTTTTCTACAAATTCATAGGGATCATCTCTATCCAATTCAGAACCACTAATCCTAATCCAAGGATTCACAACATTATCGTAAACATCATTTTGATTGTCTTCATTACTTTCCTGATTGATTTCGTCAGTGTCAGATTCACTAGTCAGCGAGAGATCAAAAGGGTTACGTCCCAAGAGGGTTAACCAAAAAGCTTTCGGGCGACCAGCTCTCCTACCAGCAATGGTGCTAGTACATGAATTTCAAATATCATAGTCCAGAGTTTCCCAAGCGTTTTGGAGTCACAGCACCGTTGCTACACCCACGTCTTTTCAATTTTGCTCTAAGCCACATTCTTTGTGCACTGTAAAATAGCGCTTTTTAAACAATCTAATCCATTTTTGAAACCTTATACTTATACAAGAAGACATACCTCATTAACTTCAGTTGACTTTATCAAAACAATATTTAATTGATACAGCATAGACGCTGCACAAAACCAACTGCTACTTTAACTTTAATAAATACAGAGTACCAAGTAGGTTGGAGAACTAGTGAAAAATACCAACTTAATTATAATTGGCTTTTATTAAGTCCATTAATTTTTTAACACTTCAAGTTGCAGCAGGACACAGTCTGGGAGCCTCTGTCCTAGTCAATTACATGCCATAATAAACACATATCTTTACATTTTCTCTTAACACCTAGCATCATCCTAATCCCCCTTCCAATAATAAATATTAGTATCTTGATCCCTTGAATGCACTTTATATAAAGATAAATCCCGCAAGTGCATGTAAAAAATATCAAAAGACTGTATTGGAATGGTTAGTTTCACTGATTAGGTTAGGGTAAAGTCTTGCACATTCCTAATTTAGTTAAAATTAGATACAAATCCCTAAAAAATCTAAATTTCCTTCTGACATATTGAGTGCATTTTTGCTGTAAAAGAAATAATTAAAAAATGCAAAAGAGCTATTTAGATTGATTGCTTCTTATATTTAGATTCATCTGTCGCTATAGCATACATTTTTTTGGTTAAAATCATAGTAGTAATAATCAATAATTTCCTTCTGACATATTGAGTGCATTTTTGCTGTAAAAGAAATAATTAAAAAATGCAAAAGAGCTATTTAGATTGATTGCTTCTTATATTTAGATTCATCTGTCGCTATAGCATACATTTTTTTGTTAAAATCATAGTAGTAATAATCAAGAGTTACATCTTGCAGGTTAGAATTATATTACTATTGATCTGTGACGAAAAATCTTATTTAAATTTTTAAAGATTCACTACTGTAATGCAGTTGTAGTTAAAATCTTGCACTGAGCTTGATGTGACCATTTTGAAGGTTTTCTTTTGTTCATTTAACACCACCTCCCTAATTCCAATAGTGGTTGGACTTTAACTATTTAATATATTAAATAAAAAAAGCTATTCAACTTTCCCTTAGAGAACAATGAATTTTTTGTTGAAAGACCCATGCAAACAAGGCTGGTGTAAAAGCAATGATTACATCAAGTGTGTGATTAATTTTTTGGGTACTTTTTATGATGGTAACTTTCAGGTTAAAATTGTTCATATGATATTGTCTTCATATTAATTCAAGCTTGCGCTCTAATATAATAAAGTTTCTGTCTTCTACTAATTCATGTATTATTTTACTTCCAGGTTAAAGTTGTTGTTTTCACAGAGATCACTTGAAGACCCCCATCACTGCCAGAATTCACAGCTGCTCTTATGATGAATGTGCAGGAGGAATCATGACATGCCAGGACAATGACTGGTCAACATTTTACTTCAGGTAAATCCAGTCCTTTTTATTCTATTTATTTTTAATTACCTATGCCACTAATTTAAAAAAAAAAAAATTTGTTTTATTTTTTAA